TGTGGTGGGGTGAGGGCGTGTAGGGAGTGAGGGGCCGTGTGGGGGTGAGGGGCTTTGTGGTGAGGGGTGTGTGGTGGGTGAGGGGGCGTGTGGTTGGGTGAGGGGGCGGGTTGGGGTGAGGGGCTTGTGGGTGAGGGGCTGTGTGTTGGTGAGGGGGCGTGGGGTGGATGAGGGGCGTGGTGGTGGGTAAGGGGCGGTGGTGGGGTGGAGGGGCTTTGGTGGGTGAGGGGCCGTGTGGTGGGTGAGGGGCGTGGTTGTGGGTGAGGGGGGCGGGGTTGGGGTGAGGGGCGTGTATAGTGAGTGAGGGGCCGTGTGTGGTTGGTGAGGGCATGAGGGGCAGGTGGGTGAGGGCTGTTGGGGTAGGGGCTTTGTGGGTGGGAGGGGCTGTATAGTGAGTAGGGGCCGTGTGGGTTGGTGAGGGCGTGGGGGTGATGAGGGGCGTGTGGTGGGTGGGTGAGGGGCGTGTAGTGGGAGGGTGGGGGGCGTGTGTGGTGGGGTGAGGGCCGTGGTGGGGTGAGGGGCGTGTGGTGGGTGAGGGGCTGTGTGGGGTAGAGGAGGGCGTGTGGTGGGTGAGGGGGGCTTTGGTGGGTGAGGGGCCGTGTATAGTGAGTGAGGGCCGTGTGTGGTGAGGGGCGTGTGGGGTGGATGGGGGCGTGTGTGGTGGGTGAGGGGGCGTGTGTGGTGGGTGAGGGGGCGCGTGTGGTGGGTGTGGGGGCGCGTGTGGTGGGTGAGGGGCGTGTTGTGGGTGAGGGGCGTGTATAGTGGTGAGGGCCGTGTGTGGTTGGTGAGGGCGTGTGGGGTGTATGAGGGCGTGTGTGGTGGATGAGGGCGTGTGTGGTGGGTGAGGGGCGTGTGGTGGGTGAGGGGGGTGCGTGTGGTGGGTGAGGGCCGTGTGTTGTGGGTGAGGGCGTGTGTGCGGTGGGTGAGGGCGTGTGCGGTGGGTGGTAGGGGCGTGTGGGTGTGTGAGTGGTCCTGAGTGTGGCGACAATGAAGAAACACGTGGGTGTGGTAGGAAGCGAGGAAGTGAGAGGTCGTGGGTGTATGGATGGGGACGAGGATGGATTTTCAGCGGAGTAAGTTGTGATTTTTGGTTGGAGTGGGCGTGAGGGTGGTTGAGGTTTGTGGTTGGGTTATGAAGGGTTGGTGGCCGTGATGGTGGACAGGTGGAGTGAGCAGTGATCTATGGTTGTAGTGTTTATGCTGAAGCTGCCAAGATAATCTCGGAATGCAAAAAATCAAATAATTTCCTATTTCATTATCCAACATGTGATTTACTTCAACACATTCACTCAACTACATGAAACTTGTTGTATATATATATTTTTTGTTGTTATACCGTGGAAGAGTAAAAACACTGCGGCGTAAAATAAGGTATGGATAAATTGTGATTTTACGACAGTGAAACAAAGAATAACATATTCGAACCGTTAATGGTTTAGCCTACAAAATAAACCTCGTAATGGCCACAAAATATGGCTGTAGTGACCTGCAAAACAAATGGCCAGCGAAAAGAACTTTGAGCTTATAGTAAGGAGTGACCTGCGAAAGGAGCATGTAGTGCCCTCCATAATACGCTCATGATCACTTGGAAAATGTGTTTATGAAAGCTTAATGGAAGTGTTTACTGAGATCCATAAAATGCGCCCTTGGTGGCTTATCGCCACTGTTTACCTTCGCGGCCCTAAAATAAACACTTGGTGGCCTGCAGTGTTGCCAACAGCGGAAAATCCACTAAATTTTGCGGGTTGTCCTTTCAAAACGCGGATGGCTTAGACCTTTCGCGGATAGCGGATTTTCTGGTGCGTTTCACTAGATTTTGCGGAAGTTCTAGCGGATTTCGTATACAAGATGATTATTAGTAATTAAAACCTATTCTGTCCTCCCTCTGAAATTAGAAAAAAATAAATAAATTTAAAGTAAATAGAATACAGAGTAATCAGCAACCCAATCTCGTCCCACTGCTGACCATGTCCATTACACGTTCGAACTTCGTAAAGGTACAGGACCTGTCCGCCTTGGTTCCCGCCGCCCGGCCCATGTCGTGGCCCAGCCACTGCCAGTTAGCCTCCCAGACGTCACTCTATGTGGAAGTGCTTTAATTAACCTACGTGGGGCCAACTTACGGTCAAGCATACACAAAAAGCTGGGAGGCATTTCCAGAGTTAAAGGACTAGCTTAAGCCTGTAGAAAAAGATAAAACTAAGGCATATTGCTTGTTCTGTAAATGCGAGATTAATGCAAAACTTTGTGATCTGAGAAGGCATGTAGTTTCAGTAAAACATGTCAAATCATCAGATCTATTTTCTAGTGCAAGGCAAGCAAAGCTACCTCTCTCTAAATTTAATGACACGACAACAATCCACAAGTGAGGCCGAGGGACTGCTCTCGATGTTAATTGCTGAACTTACTGCACTTTTACCTGTGGGGATCATGTGTCGGAAGCTTGCAAAAAGGAGTTCAGTGACAGTAATGCAGTGAAATTGCATAAAGCCGATTGCCAAAACATTATAGTAAATGTGTCGGCACCACACTTTACTGAGAGTCTACGAAAAGATATTGGTGATGGACAGTACAGCATTTTGATTGATGAGTCAACTGACATAGCACTCGTGAAGTTGCTTGGTGTTATTGTACGTTATTTCAGCAAGGAGTTAAAGAAAATTGTGTCAACGTATCCTGGATTTAATGAACTAGAAGATGGAACATCGTAATCTATAGTAAATGCCATCAAGAACCTTTTACAGGATGTACAGCTGGACCCACAGAAGTTACTAGGAGTTGGAGTTGATAATGCGAGTGTCAATACAAAATATTGTTAAATCAAAGCTCACAAATCGGTTGAATACAAGTTCAGTCTGTACGATTATTATTGCAGTGAAAAGTGGACTCAGAAGAGTTGGAAAATGTTGCCATTATTGAACTGCCAAAACAAGTGGTAAAGCAAATAGGTACAATGGTAGCATACAGTTCATCGACATAAAAAGCACCAGAAGATCGTCAAGCTCTTCTTCAGTACCCATGTCTATAAAGACTGAAGAGGAAGAAGAGGCCGGCATAATTTTCTCGCTGAACTAAGTGGCGAGTACTTAACATTTGTATATTTACTTAACATTTGCACATTGTTTAGGATACATGCGTAATATTGTTGTAGCGGATTTCTAGCCGGTTCTACAGGTCAATCTAGCCGATTTTCACCAACCTCATTTGGCAATGGTGGCCTGTCTTCAGTGTTTACTTTCGCGACTCACAAAACGCACCCTTGAGTGGCCTGTATCCAATGTTTACGTTCAGACCCACAGAATGCGCCCGTGGTGGCCCTTCTCTGGTGTTTACGCTATACATCGCCTTGCCTTAAGGAGCACCTAGACCAATCAGCTGAGGATATATCTCATGAGCACGAGTGTGGCAAAGCGCTACATCAACACGACCAACAGAGAGCGTCTGTCCCGGGCCCAGGGAGTTATGTAGTGAGTGACACGCTTCATCAACAGCACTACAAACAGGGGAGACTTTGAGGGATGCCTGGTGGTATTTTCATTGTTGCTGGAATAACAAATGTGATACTTGAGATAGACGAAACATCTGGGGGGAGAGCGAGATAGAGACAGACAGAGACAAATAAACAGACATACACTTTCTCAGGGAAATAAACACTGAAACAAAAGATCATTTGAATAGAGAAGCAAATTAACGAATACACACACACACACACACACACACACACACACACACACAGATTACAGATAAAAATACCATTCAATCAATACGAGAAAAAACAAGCCGAAGAAAAAAGTCCTCAAATAAAATCCTTTCTCTCACACACACACGAGAGAGAGAGAGAGAGAGAGAGAGAGAGAGAGACTCAGAAACAAAGGAGATAAAACCAAGTAAAAACAACTCCTCCTCCCCCACAGAAAGCAATAACAATCCCACATTTTTTTTATTATTGTTAACTAACCACAAAAGCCTTCCCATTTTACTCACCATTGATCAAAAAAAATTCTTTATCGGAGAAAAAAATGAGTCCAACGAACCCACTTTATTTTTTAACCATAAAAACATTTCCATTTTACTCCCCACCCACCAGCCAAACCTCAAATATTATTTTATTGTATTTTATTTTTACTTAACACAACTCATTTTAAGCAACCTAACCTAACCTAACCAATAGTTTAGCATTAAGAAATACAAGGACTCGTTGCATTTACAAACATAATATCCATCTCATCCTACAACAAACACAATATCCGTCTCTCACCCTTCAACAAACACAATATCCATCTCTCACCTTTCAACAAACACAATATCCATCTCTCACCTTTCAACAAACACAATATCCATCTCTCACCCTTCAACAAACACAATATCCATCTCTCATCCTTCAACAAACACTATAACTCAGCAGGATGTCGTCGCTCCAGAGACAACGAGCCCAAACAAACAAGACTTAACGTGACAAATTTGGGTCAGACGAGACTCGGCAAGTTGACATTTTCCGCCTGGTCTGAGCTCCAGCCACCACCAGCCACCCGTCCACGGAGCTGATTAACATTTCAGCGTGGTGGCCGCCAGCCTCCGCCTCTCTCCTGCTGCTGCTGTTGTGGGGGGAGAGTCTAAGGGGCTCTTACTTCCTCCTGCTGCTGCTGTTGTTGTGAGGGAGAGTCTGAGGGGCTCTTACTCCCACCTGCTGCTGCTACTGTTGTGAGGAGAGTCTGAGGGGCTCTTACTCCCACCTGCTGCTGCTACTGTTGTGAGGAGAGTCTGAGGGACTCTTACTCCTGCTGCTGCTACTGTGTGAGAGAGTCTGAGGGCTCTCTCCCACCTGCTGCTGCTACTGTTGTGAGGGAGAGTCTGAGGGGCTCTCACTCCCACCTGCTGCTGCTACTGTTGTGAGGGAGAGTCTGAGGGCTCTTACTCACCTGCTGCTGCTACTGTTGTGAGGGAGGTCTGAGGCTCCTCCTCTACCTGCTGCTGCTACTGTTGTGAGGTCTGAGGGGCTCTTACTCCCACCTGCTGCTGCTACTGTTGTGAGGGAGAGTCTGAGGGCTCTTCTCCCACCTGCTGCTGTTGTTGGGGGAGAGAGTCTGAGGGCTCTTACTCCCACCTGCTGCTGTTGAGGGGAGAGTCTGAGGGCTCTCACTCCTACCTGCTGCTGCTACTGTTGTGAGGAGAGTCTGAGGGCTCTTACTCCCACCTGCTGCTGCTACTGTTGTGAGGGGAGAGTCTGAGGGGCCTCTCACTCCTACCTCTGCTGCTGTGAGGGGGGATCTGAGGGCTCTCCTCCCTGCTGCTGCTACTGTTGTGAGGAGAGTCTGAGGGCTCTTACTCCACCTGCTGCTGCTACTGTTGTGAGAGTCTGAGGGGCTCTTACTCCCACCTGCTGCTGTTGGGGAGAGTCTGAGGGCTCTCACTCCACCTGCTGCTGCTACTGTTGTTGTGAGGGAGAGTCTGAGGGGCTCTTGCTCCCACCTGCTGCTGCTACTGTTGTGAGGAGAGTCTGAGGGGCTCTTACTCCCACCTGCTGCTGCTGCTGTTGAGGAAGTCTGAGGCTCTCACTCCCACCTGCTGCTGCTCTGTTGTTGTGAGGGAGTCTGAGGGTCTCACCTGCTGCTGCTATTGTTGTGAGGAGAGTCTGAGGGCTCTCACTCCTACCTGCTGCTGTTGTTGTGAGGGAGGTGAGGGCTCTTACTCCCACCTGCTGCTGTTGTGAGGGAGAGCAGGGGATCTCACTCCCACCTGCCTGCTGTTGTTGTGAGGGAGAGTCTGAGGGCTCTCCCACCTGCTGCTGTTGTGAGGGAGAGTCTGAGGGTCTCACTCCCACCTGCTGTTGTTGTGATTGAAGTCTGAGGCTCTCCTCCCACCTGCTGCTGTTGTGAGGGAGAGTCTGAGGGCTCTACTCCCACCTGCTGCTGTTGAGGGGAGAGTCTGAGAGGCTCTTATTCCACCTGCTGCTGTTGTTGGGGGGAGAGTCTGAGGGGCTCTCAATCCCCTGCTGTTGTTGTGAGGAAGAGTCTGAGGGCTCTTACTCCCCACTTGCTGCTGTTGTGAGGGAGAGTCTGAGGGGCTCTTACTCCCACCTGCTGCTGTTGAGGAGAGTCTGAGGAGGCTCTTACTCCCACCTGCTGCTGTTTGTGAGGGAGACTGAGGGGCTCTCCTCCCCCCTGCTGTTGTTGTGTGAGAGGGAGTCTGAGGGGCTCTACTCCACCTGCTGCTGTTGAGGGAGGAGTCTGAGGGCTCTTACTCCACCTGCTGCTGCTATTGTTGTGAGGGAGAGTCTGAGGGCTCTCACTCCTACCTGCTGCTGTTGTTGTGGGGGAGAGTCTGAGGGGCTCTTACTCCCACCTGCTGCTGTTGTGAGGAGAGACTGAGGCTCTCACTCCCACCTGCCTGTTGTGAGGGAGAGTCTGAGGGGCTTTCACCCCACCTGCTGCTGTTGTGAGAGAGTCTGAGGGGCTCTCACTCCCACCTGCTGTTGTTGTGAGGGAGAGTCTGAGGGGCTCTTACTCCCACCTGCTGCTGTTGAGGGAGAGTCTGAGAGGCTCTCACTCCCACCAGCTGCTGCTGTGAGCGAGAGTCTGAGGGGCTCTTACTCCCACTTGCTGCTGGTACTGTTGTTAGGGAGAGTCTGAAAGGCTCTCACTCCTACTTGCTGCTGCTACTGTTGTGAGAGGGAGTCTGAGAGGCTCTTGCTCCCACCTGCTGATGGTTCCTGCTACTGTTGTGAGGGAAAGTCTGAGTGGCTCTTACTCCCACCTGCTGTTGCTGTTGTTAGGGAGAGTCTGAGAGGCTCTCACTTCCTCCTGCTTCTGCCACGTCTTTCAGGGATGGAGAATCTCGGAGGAATTGACTTGCTGCTGTTGTTTGAACAGACAATAAATCATAGTTCATATATAAGGTAAAGGTAGAGTCAAAAATGTTATAGTTACCAGTTTAAGAGAAAATGAAAATGTAGAGTTGTTGAAATAGTAGTACAAATGGTCTTGTTTGCAGATATTTCTTTTTAAAGTTAAATAACCTATCACCTGAGCTCTTGTCCAGTTTTGGCGCTCTTGGCAACAGTCACAATTCGATCTAGTTAATTGGTTGCAAAGTGAATCCTGTCATGTTTAGCAATCAGCAACCAATCAACTCCCATGACTTTTGACGGTTGCTCAAGACGCCACAACCAGCAACCAATCAACTCCCATGACTTTTGACGGTTGCTCAGAACGCCACAACCAGCACCCAATCAACTCCCATGACTTTTGACGGTTGCTCAGGACACCACAGTCGGCAACCAATCAACTCCCATGACTTTTGACGGTTGCTCAGGACGCCACAACCAGCAACCAATCAACTCCCATGACTATTGACGGTTGCTCAGAACGCCACAGTCAGCAACCAATCAACTCTCATGACTTTTGACGGTTGCTCAGGACGCCACAACCAGCAACCAATCAACTCCCATGACTTCGCAGTTGCAAAGGACATCAGTCAGCAACCAATCAACTCCCATGACTTTTGACGGTTGCTCAGGACGCCACAACCAGCAACCAATCAACTCCCATGACGGTTGCACACACAGTCAGCAACCAATCAACTCCCATGACTTTTGACGGTTGCTCAGGACGCCACAACCAGCAACCAATCAACTCCCATGACTTTTGACGGTTGCTCAGACGCCACAACCAGCAACCAATCAACTCCCATGACTTTTGACGGTTGCTCAGGACGCCACAACCAGCAACCAATCAACTCCCATGACTTCTCGCGGTTGCAAAGGACACATCAGTCAGCAACCAATCAACTCCCATGACTTTTGACGGTTGCTCAGGACGCCACAACCAGCAACCAATCAACTCCCATGACTTTTGACGGTTGCTCAGGACGCCACAACCAGCAACCAATCAACTCCCATGACTTCTCGCGGTTGCAAAGGACACATCAGTCAGCAACCAATCAACTCCCATGACTTTTCGCTGTTGCTAAGGACGCCACAAAATGACAGAGCAAAGTCGATATAATCAACTGGGATATAAAATTAACACTTATTCAGGAGCGACAGGCAAGAAAGTTGTAAGAAGTGGGGATTTTTATCAGCTAAAGAATAAGGAAGATAAGACCGAGGTGGATAGTTTAATTGAGTTGGTTAGTTAAGATGTGCACTTGGTTGACAGTGAACCAAAGGATTATATAAAGCATAGTTGGTGTGTGTGTGTGTCTGTAATAATAATAATAATAATAATAATAATAATAATAATAATAATAATAATAATAATAATAATAATAATAATAATAATAATAATTAACGGTTTATTGAAAGAGTATGGCAGCCGGAAGGCTGAAAATATACAGGTGCACAATTGGGGAATGAGTCTCTTGATTTGCAAATAATATACAAGTAACATAAGTGATACAAATATTATATATAATAACTACTGTAGGTGGGGAGGTCATACTACAGGGCATTTCAACATAGTGATAGTGCAAAAAGGTAAGATTGACTGGGAGTGAATACACTGGGTGATTACAAGTTATGATTTTTACAATGGATGGGACTGGGCTGTTCTTATAGCGATCAGTACGATCAGTACGATCAGTACGTGCTCATATGGGCTGGATGCGGTTGTGGTGTCGAACAACAATTCTCGGCCGAGGGATCTCGGGTGGTAATAGGAGCCGGCATTGAGGATGGTGCAGAAGCTTCCCACCAGATTTGCAGATGAGGTCGTGGTGATGGTCAGAGAGAGCCGAAGAGGGTCAGTGTGTTGAGCCCTTCTTGATGTGGGGTAGGAGGGGGAAAAAATAATCTTGCACGCCCTCTATTGCACTTTTTCCAGGTGCTTACGTTGTGTGGCATTTTGGGAGAAAGACCAGGTAGGGGAGGCATAGGTGAGCTTGGGAAGTATGAATGTTGAGTAAACACTGAGGAGCTCGGGGGCAGGAACTCCGAGGGACTTGAGTTGGCAGAGGAGGTAGAGACGGGAACTGGAGGATTTGACAATTGTATTGATGTGTGTTTTCCATTTTAGTTTGTTGTTTGTGGTGACGCCGATGAGCTTAGTGGAGTCTACAACCTGGAGTGTGTTGGGGCCTAAAGTAATGGAAGGGGGTGGGACAACGTCGGAGAGGTTGATGTTCATAACCATGGTCGTGGTAAGGTTGATGGTGACGTGGTTGTTGGTGGCCCAATTTTGGAGACTGTTCAATAAATCTGAAGGGCGGTGTAGTCGGGAGCCGAGTTGTTGACACTGATCCCAATGGTGGAGTCGTCGACATAATTCCAGCGAGCAGAGGTTTCTCTTTGGGCATCATTGATAAGCATAAGGAAGCAGAGTGGTCCCATCTTGGTGCCTTGGGGGACGCCACAGGTGAGTGACTGAAAACTGGAGACAACCCCTCGGAATTGTTCGGCTTATCGTCGGTCACTAAGGAAGTCTGTAAGCCATGATATAAGACTTCTTCGAAACCCGAGGTCGATAGCTTTGTTGATGATTAAATTGTGGTCGACAAGGTCAAATGCTTTGGTGAAGTCAATGAAGGCGACAGCCACAGACGTTTTTCGTTTTTCCAGATGGCTGTATATGTTGTCGAGAAAGCTGACAAGACAGTGAGTGGTGGAGGAAGTTTTCATATTACCAAATTGTTGAGGATCTATGGCGCCTGCAGTATCAGCATAAGCCCAGTCAAACACGAAACTTTCACGGATTAAGCTGGGTATTGGGGTGATTGCAATGGGTCGTAACTCATTTAAGGATTGTGGACTAGTTGACTTGGGCACTGGTGACATATAATAAATCTTCCAGTCAGCTGGGCATCTTGCTTGACTGAGAGAAGCATTGATGTTGGAGCAGAGGGGTTTAGCTAGTTCCGAGGAGGAGAACTTGGAGAGTTTCATTGGTAAGTCAATGGGGATGGTGGAGCGCTTTAACTTCAGTTTGTCCAGACGTTTTGCTACTTCAGATTCTTCTACTAAGTGAGTGGGAAAGGGGGCTGGTAGGTAAGCAGGGAGACTGGTTGTGTCAAGCCGGGGGAGCGTCTGGCATATAGTTGCGAAATGGTTATTTGATTGCTCAGCTGCGTCAACATTAGTGAGATGCTAAGGAAGGGGAGGAGGTGTGTCTTATTGTTTAGTCCACAGAGTTCTTTAAGCTTACCATACCACTGACTGTTATTGGTCTGCTTCAGGTGTTGCAACTTGGTTGGGTAGTGAGACTTCTTTGCAGTGTGTATTTCGTGGATGACTTGGTTGCGAAGGGACCTGTAGCGGATGACTTGGTTGCAAAGGGACCTGTAGCGGATGTGGTCATTGAGATAAAAGGCGCTCTCTCTGCTGCATATGAGGTGATTGATAAGTGTCTCTGGTGGGTGAGCGAGGCGGATGGTATGCCGCACAGATTATGTTAGAAGCAGTGTGGCGTGGGTGGGCCCGTGGCACAACACATACCCATAATGCCTCCACATCTGCTGGGACTTCAGGCGTGATGGGAGTAGTATATCTTGACAGGAGAGGGCAACGCCCCCTTCGCGTCCATGTGAACGAAGGTGATGAAAGAATTGATATCCCTCAATATGGCACGTTTCAGGAACAATTTGACAAGCTTCTCATATGGCAACGACGTTGGCAGCGACTGATTGGACTGAAAATCCTGTTTTAATTACACTTCAAGGGATCACGTGAAGATTAGGCACTCCAGCTCATTTCACTTGATGATTAAAGATACGAACAATAACCTATCCTATCCTGACCAAGTTAATAAAGTAAATTTTTAGCAAGAAATTATTCAACTGGACCGATAACTATATTTTATTGGAGAAGGGGGTGAAAATGACGTAATTTGTGTATGACCTGTTAAGTGAAGTGACGCTGCCTTTCATGGATAATTATACGTCCAACACAGGTCGTCAGAAGGCTTACCAGTCCGTTAAATTAGACTCGGCATGATAAATACTTGAGTACGAGGACTTTATCCCCTGAATACGGTGTTATCATAATCAAAAGGTAAAGTCATCGTACTAAAGGGGTTAATATGAGAATAGGTTTAGCGAGGACAGGTTTAGCGAGGACTGGTTTAGCGAGGACAGGTTTAGCGTGGACAGGTTTAGCGAGGACTGGTTTAGGGAGGACTGGTTTGGTTACATCTCCACATTGTTGTTTTTTTCATCTAGGGAGTTACACCTTCACCTCCCCCCACAATCCCTACCCTTCCCCTCCTCCCAAGAACTCACCTATCCGCTCCCCATCCCCTAACATAGACCCCCTCCACCACTACCATCTCTACCTTCCTCCGACCTACACCTCTACCCCCACCTACACCCACCTACTCCCCACAACCAACTTTAGCCACCTCCTCTCCTCCCCTTCAACCCTACCTTCCCACCTACCCCTCTCCTCCACGCCTTCATCTCATACCCCCTTTCCCTCTCCCAACCTTCACAACTACCCCCTTCCCCCCTCCCCAGTAGCCCCCCACCCCGACCACTCTTCTCTGTCACCACAACAACACTTCGTATAAAAATTTTCACAGAACATGAGAAATTTCAACAGATGCCACAGAGAACACGGCATACCTGAGTAACTCGTTCACAAGCTGGTGTATCATGCAGGTGTGGGGCCTCGTCAATTGAT